ATTTTCGTCCCTCGAGAGAACATCCTTGTTGTTTGCATGTCATCTAAATAATTATTAAAAAATTTTAAAAAAATTAACAACATAGATTAATATAAAATATATCACTTTACAAACATGCAAGACCAAATTTAACTTTTACAAGTTGCAACAAAAAGAACAAATTAAACTGAAAATAGTTATCATATGTTCGCAGCTATATTTGTTATTTTTGTTACAACTTGTAGAAGTTGAATTTAAACTTGCATGTTTTTGGATTGATATATTTCATATTAATATATGTTACCAATTTTTTTAAAAAAAATTTATGACTATTTAGTTGTTATGCACGAAACGAGGGGATATCTCCTCAAAGTATGATCTATCACTTTCCCAACAATAATTAGCTAGGCTCTGTTCGCTGCTGGAGGTTCCCAACCAGGAAGAGTGCGTACGGAAAATGGAGCGGTCCATTAGCGTGTGATTAATTAAGTATTAGTTATTTTTTAAAAAAATAAATCAATATGATTTTTTAAGCAACTTTTATAGAGAAACAGTTTTTAAAAAATGAACCGTTTAACAGTTTGGGAAACGTACGTATAAAAAACGAGGCGAGGGGGGTTGGGAAGGAGCTCTTACGAACGAGCTGGACATGACATGGTGCAGCTTGCACAACATGGCACTTCAAGGATCGATACTGTGAGAGGCAGAGACAGAAGTACTAGCGCAGCAGTACTACGTGAGGCATCTCTCGGATTTTTAATTTATGGCCGAGTTTATTTCCGAACTTTTTCTTTAAATTTTTAACTTTTTCATCACATCAAAACTTTTCTACACATAAACTTCTAACTTTTCCATCACATCATTTTAATTTCAACCAAACTTTTAATTTTGACGGGAACTAAACACACCCTATAAAGTTATTGAATTTTTAAGATATGTTTAGCCTTTCGGCTTATTAAAAAAATTATTTTAATTAATTTGATTCATCGTCAAATATTCTTATAACTATGATTTAAACTTTTATATTCGCACAAAAGTTTTAAATAAGATGAAAGGATCCAACGTTTGTAAATAAACCAAATACGTCGTATATTAAAAATAGGTTGTAATTGGTATGGCAGGAGGACTGCACCTTACGTTAAGGCCCATCGATCTACCATTTGCGGCGGACATACGGTTTAGAAAACATGAATTCTCAGAAGACTCTGAAGTTTTTTATATAACAGAAAATTTATTGAATCCTCGGACTCTATCACATGACACACGAACTGTATTGCAAAGATACAGTATATATATATATCTCCGTCTTAAAATAAATAAGTGTAATTCTGTATACAAATTTTGTTCTAAAATAAGTATATTCCTGTCATACTAGTACTTGTTACACTAACCATATCCAATTCAAATTTCTCTCTATCTTACCCTCAACTATCCTCCTACTTAATCTCTACACCTCTCGTTTAATAATTAATATGGGTCACTTAGGTGATCTTTTCTTCCTTTTATTTTTCTCTTTCACTTTTAAAAGTACACTTATATATGTTGAAACAAAGAAAGTGTACTTCCTCTGTCTCACAAAGACTTTATTTTTCAGCTTTTGGATATAACATTTAACTCCTCTTATTTAAAACTTTTCTGTGATTCAATATTTTTATTGTTATTAGATGATAAAACATAAATAATACTTTATGCATGACTAATTTTTTTAAAAAGATTCAGATAAGACAAATGGTTAAACGTTGAATACAGAAATCCAAAAACAGAGTCTTCATGAACGGAGAGGAGCCTAGTCATATAGTACTCCATAAAACTTGAGATAAGTAGTGACATATACTGTTTAGCAGCTTAGTCCTATTCCCTCCGTCCTATAAAAAAATAGGACTAAATGTGACACATTCTAATATACGACGAATCTAAAAAAAATATATTTTTAAATTTATATTAGAATGATTTTTTATGTGACCGATGAAGTAATGCGTAGGGCCACGAGATCACGACATACATGCCGGTATCAGGGAATCTAATTACTACAACGAACTATAGTAGTATTACGTAGTACGTCCGTGCTGTTTCGAGGACCTACAATTTATAATGGGCTGTCGGCCGTTACAGCTGAGCTACCTACCTATAGCTAGCTGAGCTCGATTCATCCATCCATCCTCTCTCCACAATACTACTGCTACGTACGAGTTCGTTTTAAAATACATCAACTAGATGCTTGGACGGAGATTTTATTAATGCATGATTAATTAAGTTTTAATTATTATAAATTTATTTTATTTTTAAAACTAACTTCTTTATATAAAGTTTTCACATAAAACTCACCGTTTAGTGGTATAGACAAATTTACTACAGGACATTATAACTTTGTGGTTTTAGCTGTAGGATACCGCGAAGTGACTTTTGGGGGAAGACACTCTCAAATGTTGATATTTGCTAGTGGACACCGCTCATTAAAATAATAATTTTCGGTTGAATAGAAGAGATAAATCGCGTGAAATATAAAAATACCCTTGGGCCCACATGTTAGCACTCCTATCTTTCTTCTTTTCTCTCTCTTCAAACATGCAGGGCGAGGCAGCGTGTGGAGGCCCGTTGCTGGCGCGACGGCCGTGCAGGTGGCACTACGAGGTGTGTTGGCGAACGAAGGCCCAGCGCAGGGTAACCGCGAAGCGGACGGCGTCGCGCCTAGCGACCTCGGTGGTGGCGGGGACATCGAACACGATGAGGAACGCCATCTCCGGCGTCCGCTCCACCGCGTCCATGAAAGTTGGTGTACTAGTTCACCCTCGAGAACGCCATCGCCGTGTAGCCGCCGTTCGTGAGGCACCACCACAGCGACGTGGCGGCAGAGACGTTCGCGGTCCAGGCGAGCACCGCTGCGAGCACAACATCGTCAGCGGCGGCGAGGAGCGCGGTGGGGGTGATGAAAGCGCACACGAGAATCGGGTAGGGCGTCTGATGGAGGCCACGGGGCGGACGGAGGAAGACGAGCGCGTAGACGGAGAAGGGGAGCATGAAGAGGAGCGCATCGTGGCCGAGCGAGAAGGCCATGCCGCCGGTGACCCGTCACTCTGGCGGGCACTCAACCTGCTCCACAACCACCTTGCGCACTTAATGTCGTGGGACGCGCTGACGGAGGCACTCGCGCGTCTCCACGACGACGTCCGCCGCCGCACCTGCACGACATTTGTGCCATCTGCACGTCCGCCGTGCCACTGCACCTCGCCGTGCCACCCGCACGGCCGCCGTGAGCCCCAGCCAGACGCACCCCGCACGGCGTCACCGCGAGCCACCGTCGCCGCCACTACGCCTCGCCATGCCGCCCGCACAGCCTTCACGCCCGTGCCGGTCGTCCGCACGCTGCCTCTCCTCTCAGAGTGACGCTGGAAGGAGGAAGATAGAGAGAGAAAAGAAGAGAGATAGGAGAGCTGACATGTGAGCCCAAGAGTATTTTTGACATTAATTTCACGCGATTTCTCTTTCTTCAACCGGAAATTGTCCACCAGTAAATATCCAACATTTGAGAGCGTCTTCCTCCAAAAATTACTTCGTGCGGTGTCCTAGAACTAAACCATGAAGTCGCGATGTCCTGTAGCAAAATTTGGCTTGAAAATATGTGCTAACAAAAATCGAGGAAGAACCTACCCCTTCATCACAAACGAAATGGAGCCTGAGGACTGAATAACACGTCGTAGTAATACAAATCTATCCCTTTAATTAGTTGTAAGTTGCTAGTATATTTCAAGATGGAGTTAATAGTATATTGCATCGATATATTATAATAAGCTTAATTAGTAGTGGCATGCATGTAAGCTATGGCTCGATAAACTTGCAGACGTTCCTCGACGTCCTCGTGATGCAATTAATAATTGTTTTGTCTGCTTCTCGATCGATCAATTTAAATATTTGGTAGCCATGCATGCGTTGCAAAAAATTGGATCAACTTGCATTTGGATCATCATACATTTATATGCTGTTCTAGTCACAGCTAGCCCTACCAAGATATATATAGTCAGAATGAATACACTGATGGTACCAAGCTAGCAAGCAAAGCGCGCAGCTCTCTGTATCGTACCTTAGCTGAGCCATCAATTTATCAAACTCATTCGTACATGTTAATACAGGCAAGTAGCACCTAGATATACTCCCTCCGTCCCATAAAAAAGAATCTAGGATCGGATGTGATATATTCTAGAACGATGAATCATGGCATGTGTATGTCCAGATTCGTAATACTATAATGTTTCACATCTGATACTATATTGATTTTTGTGGGACGGAGGGAGTGCGTATTATCTAGCACAAATAATGCATGATTGTGACGCCATATATATTAATTATCTAGATGATTACCTTATACTTGAACAATGAATGTGGGAAATGCTAGAATGACTTATATTGTGAAACGGAGGACGTACTGGGTTTTGATATCTGTCGGTTCGCTGATTTTTTTTACTAGCTAAAAAACTTTTGACAGGATTTTTTTTAAAAGAACTTTTCAACTTTGAAATATAACTATAAGATAATTGTAGTAAAATTAACGCCGTTGTGTCGCGTCGTAAGTTTAACTCCCTCACGTACGCCACACGTGTGCTCGATTTTTTTTTTAATTCTCCTCACGTACACGAATCTCAACACATCTCAATATGGATCGGACGATCAAAAATTCAAAAGTTTCTAACTCATGTTCTCCATTGATGGTAGAATAGTGTTATGTCTTTTTCCTTATTTGCTAGTCAATTAAACTTGCTAAATGAACAACATTATTAGACTAAACTTGCAGAAATTGAATTTAGATTACATAATATATTTTCCCATATTAATTAGTAAAATCTATACTAAATTATTTTTAATAAATTTAAGTAAGTTACTAGAATATTTGTCTTATCTGAACAGCATGATTGACATGCAAGTTGTCGAACATTGATTGGCAAGTGAAACTAAATATATGGCCCTATATCATCGACAATTTAAAATTTTCCGCTTCTCAACCATAAGTCCATAACTTAAATTCACACTTGTACAACTGTAAATGTATAGTGTTTTTTTTTTCAGGGAACAGTACATATATAGCTCAACACACCAACAACCAGCTTACTCAAAAGTTTGATATACAATTAAGGCCAAACAAATCACCTGTTCCTTTTTACCCGTACTACACATGACTTATGACATGTTTCTTGCTGGTATACAAGTAACAAAAAAGAAAAAGAACCTTACCCAAAAAAAAGAAGAAGATGAAAGCCCAACATTTATATGATGGACCATAGTAATTTTGAATGCACAGTATGAATATAATCACACACACACACTGCCTACGTGGAGAGAGTATTTATTATTCCACGCACCTCTCGTTGTCGCCATTAATTACTTCTACCAACTGCGACCAGTAAACAATTAATCAATCCATGTATCGAACGGACACGACACAGCAAATAACAGTGGCTTTACACTGTCGCCGTCGAGCTCGATCTACTTGTCTTCTCCGGCGTCGGCGACGATCTCGGTGGTCGTCTTCTTGATGAGCTCCCACGCGCTTCGCACGTGCCGCTCCTCCTGCAGCGACGACCCCACCGCGAAGCGCAGCACGAACCTGCCGCCGACCACCGTGTGCGCCACGTAAGCCTTTCCGGTCTTGTTCAGCCGCTCCATCAGCTCGCGGTTCGCCTTCTCGGCCTCCGCCTCGCCGGCGGCGATGGCGGCGCCGGATTTCCTCGGCCTGATCCTGAAGCAGACGAGCGCGAAGTTCCTCGGCACCACGACCTCGAACCGGTCGTCGCCGCGGACGAGGTCCTCGAACGTCTTGGCCATGGCGACGTCGCTCCGGATGTGCTCCTGCAGCTTGCCGGCGCCGTAGGTGCGCATGACCATCCAGAGCTTGAGCCCCCGGAAGCGGCGGCCGACGCCGACCTGCATGTCCTTGAGGTCGGTGACCTCGCCGGAGTCGCTGGCGTGGTTCTTGAGGTACTCCGGGTTGGTCTCGAGGGAGCCGGTGAGGCGGTGGGTGTCGCGGACGTAGAGGCAGGTGCAGTCGAGGCAGGTCATCAGCCACTTGTGGGGGCTCATGCTGATGGAGTCGACACGCTCCACGCCGTCGAGGTGGTGCCGGAACTCCGGGCAGATGCACGCGCTGCCGGCGTACGCCGCGTCGACGTGCACCCACGCCGCGAACCTCGCCGCGACGTCGGCCACGGCGCCCACCGGGTCGACGGCGTTGGACGACGTGGTTCCCACCGTGGCGCACACGTAGGTGGGCACCAGCCCGGCGTCGGCGTCGGCCTGCATCGCCTCCAGCAGCCTCGCCGGGTCGAGGCCGTAGTCGGTCTCGGCCCCGGTGGGGATCGACCGGATGTTCGCCGGATCGAACCCGGCGAGGCGGCACGCCTTGAAGAACGTGGAGTGCGTCTGGTCGGCGGCGTACACCGTCAGCCGCGTGATGCCCGCCACGCCATTGGACCCGCTCCGCCGCAGCGCGGCGTCGCGCGCGGCGACGAGCGTGACGAGCATCGCCTCGCTGGTGGTCCCCAGAATGACGCCCCCGCCGGTGCCGCGCCCACCGGCGACGGTGCGGTTCATGAAACTCGCCGGCAACCCGAGCAGCTGCGCGAGCCAATCCAGCGCGAGCACCTCCAGCTCGGTCGCCGCCGGCGCCGCCTGCCACGTGAATCCGACGGTGTTCATCGCCGACGCGATGAGCTCACCGGCGATCGCGGCGGCGCTATTCGTCGCCGGAAAGAACGCGAAGAAATTCGGGCTCGCCCAGTGGGTCATCCCGGGGACAACCGCCTCCCTGAGCTCCTTCATAGCAATATCGAACGGCGCCGACGACGACGGCGGCGCCGACTGCAGCAGCCGCAGGAGGTAGCCCGGCTCGACGCCAGGGAGCACCGGGAGCGACTCCACCGACTTGTAGTAGTCGTAGACGAAGTCGACGGCCTTGTGGAGGTAGGAGCGGACGTCGTCGGCGTCGAGCGGGCGGAAGGGCTCGACGTCGGCGGCGAACGCGGCGTAGGCGGCGGCCGGGTTGGCGTCCAAGCTCCCCATGTGTCAGTGGAGGATGACGGTGAAGCTAGCTTAGCTTTAGCTTAGTTGGTTAGTTCGAGATGTGGTTGAGCTGAGCTAAGCTAGCTGATGGAGTGGAGATGGTGGTGGGAGGTGGGAGGGGATAGATGGGGTTTATATAGCTGTGAAGGAGGAAGAGGAAGGGCGAGAAGCGGCGTGGCGAGGCGGGCGTTTAAGCGGTGAGAGCTGTGGTTGGTAAGTGAGAGGGAGAGGGAGAGAGGGGAGGATGTCATGGCGTGGGGCATGCATGTGTGCAGCACTGACGCGACAGATGTAACGTACAACAACCGGTGTGTTTGGTTCACGGTAAAATTGGAAGTTTAGGTGAAATTAGAACCATGTGATGGAAAAGTTGGAAGTTTATGTGTGCAGAAAAGTTTCGATGTAATGGAAAAGTTGAAAATTTGAAGAAAAATTTTGGAACTAAACTCGGCCGAACCACAGCGGCTCGTGGAGCTAGAAAATTTTTCGAATACGAATCTAAAATCGAATGTGACATATTCCAGTATTATGAATAAGTACGAATGCATGCTTAGATTCGTAGTACTAACTAGAATTAACTAGAATGTACTTGTTTGATTTTTTTATGGGATGGAGCGAGTACGACGTCGTGCGATTGGTGGGCTAATATATATTTTGAGTGAGTTTGTTTTGTACGCTCTTTTTTTTACGTTTTTCGCACGCACATTTTTAAACTATATTGAACAGTTTGATTTTTTTTAGCAAGTTCTATATGAAAAATGCTTGAAATAATCATACTAATTCGATAGCTTAGCACGTGGTAACTCTACATCAGCAATAATATGCTGATTCTATTAATAAGCATGTGCGACTAGAGATGGTTTTTGGAGTGAAATTAAGTAGGGGTGGGTTTTGTAACAAAATAACTTATAGATATTGGAATGCCAACCTCCAAGTGACTTATGTGGTGGTTTTTATAGTTTTCTATATATATTACTATTGTCCTAAATAGCTTCTATTAAGCAAAATCTATTCCCTGTGTATGTGTAATGTACGAACAATGTGTACTACAATTACTCCTCGCATCGCATGGATGCATCCCTTGATCAAGGTAGCGTGCATTGTGAAAAAAAAAACTTATCTAATTACAACACAAGTGCATGCATGTGCACCCTACATCTACTGCCATTAGATTAGTTTTTAAGACATCCGGCCAGTAGGCTAAATTAAGGTGCACAACTGCACATGCATATATGGCAAGTCAACATATGCATGTTCATATACGTACGTGTTCTAGACGTGTTGTACTTAACATATGCATGTGCTATTGTGTCCGTTTGATGAATGGTATAGTCTTTTTTTTTTTTTGGTTTTGAGAAAGGAATATATTGAAGTTGTTCATGGATTGGGGAGCATGCATAAGCATGTGTGAGATTAATTGCATGGATTCATGAGTGAATGACTGATCTGTCTGCCTTTGCAATGAAATCAATAGATAATCTGTCTACCTTTTTTTTAGTTTTTTTAATATGTTTCAGTTACCATGTTCAGGAAACGAGGCAATGGACCCTCAGGATATTAAAACGCCTGTATTTAGGGGACATCAATTCTCCATCATGGTCAACGGCGAAGATTCGATCAACCGCTACGGTAAAGCATTTCTCACTGCATAGGAAACAAGTGGCATATGTACATATGTACTGTGTACTGCTTGGTTGGTGAATGAAGTTAATTTAGATATATGGTCCCTTCGATCCCAAACATATGTTGCTCTATAGGAGTAGTAGTAACTCCTAAATATCATGTAAATTGTTTTTACTGTGTATGCATTTTTTGAACTATACACTCCCTCGGTTTCAGGTTATAATACTAAATTAGTTTCACCAAATCAATAATTGAATATATTTTCATAATAAATTTGTCATAGGTTGAAAATGTTACTACTTTTTTCCACAAACTTTATCAAACTTAAAGTAGTTTGACTTTGACCAAAGTCAAAATATCTTATAATCTGAAACAGAGAGAGTATTACTTTTCTATTTTCCCTAAATAAATGGTTCACATTAATGTATCAGATTGTAATAAGGTTATGTTTGGATAGAGGGAAAACAAAGCATGTGAATAAAAAATGTAGGAAAAGAAAACAGAATGTACCCTATATTAAAATTACAATATTACATGTCTAAAATGGATTAACTGGAAATCAAAAGAAAGTACATATATATATTGATTGCAGTGGTGAAAAATATGGATGGAGGGAAACATATCCTATATATGCACACATGTGGACACTTCGTGCGCCAACTAATTACAAATTAATGTCACCGGAAATTATAGAAGAAAATATATATACCTTCATTACTATTACATATTACACTTTATGATAGCTTAAAACTATCATAATTTTTTTATGGAAGTTCTTCCTTGGTTGCAGCATGTGAAACGTGTGCTTTATATATAATTAATTGATTTTCATTAAATTTCCATTTTGATCAATCTATATACTTGATCTCGGATTAGAAAAAACAACTAGTAGGACTGTAAACAACTGGCTCGTTGGTCGATCGCTACTCAAGCACAGCCACTAGAATAAGCAAAGCATCTTGGATCAAATATAATTTTTCCCTTGTGTTTAATTTGCTCAAGGAAAATGAACTGGTCACATCAAAGTATAAGTGGCACTCTACAGATAAATTCATGGATTAATTTCTTCTTCCAGAATAGGAGGACTTTTCCCACACTTTTGTTATTATGAAATCAGCATGAGAAGAGGCCAGGAAACGGTCAGGAATTGTTTTTCCTTTGGGTTAATCACTAGGGAGTTATTGTATGAAAATTGAGAGGCAAAAATTCATTCACGTGCGATCGTTAACTGTCAGGAAATAGTTTATGACAATAATGTCCTATTTAATTTCATTGTAATATATGGTTTACTCCTAAGTTAATTAATATGTTAATTTGTATTCTATCCGAAGAGCTGAACTTTTTGTGAAACTTAAATTACCAGCGTTTATGTATATTAGCTAGTTCATGCATATAGGATTCGTATAAACAGTATAAACATATAATGCACAGTTTCTATGTCTTGCCCTACTATACGAGAATGCGCGTGTAGATGACTATACGTACACCAACCTTTCAATTGTCAGTACTACAAAAAACATTTTAGCATGCATGTAAACAAAATAGATTTTTGCAGGTGGCCAATCAGACCGCCTACGACTTAAAAGTCTTAAAAAATAATACATTGTCATGAGCCGATAGCCAGCCACCTGCAAAAATTAATTTTGTGATGTTCGTGGGCGGGTAAGTCCTGCCATCCGCCTGTGTAAATATTTTCAGTGCTATAAAAATCCATAGTTGATGTCACTCCTTGGCCAGCAATGGCTTTCCGCTACCAATCACAGCCTAATCGATCCCCATCCAGTCCATAGAAATTCAGAAACATCAATTCCCATCACAGCCTCAATCAATCCCCATCCAACACATAGAAATTCCTATATCAATAGAGCATCACAATTTAGCCCATTCACAAATCTCCAATTGAATCCATTCACAAAATTTCCAAATGAATCAATCCACGGAACGCATAGTCAGCACCAGAACAACTAGGGGCAGAGAATGGAGGCAATAACAATACTGAACGGTGCTCACTGCCACCCTTAATTTGCTACCTCCAGCCGGCCGGCCTCCTCCCATCTAGCCCCCACCAAAGCTGTAGTCACCGTCGACACACCGTCCCTTTGCCCCTCGGTGGAGAGTGAGGGAGGGAGAGAGGGGGAGGTAGCTAAGAGAGAGTGATTGAGACATAGGCTGTGTGCCGCTGTAGCTCTCCTCAGCTGTACTGACATTAACACTGCTCCCACGTTAATTTTGCAAGCGAACCTCTTTATATTTACAAGCCACAACCTATAAAAATGAGGGTTTTTTTTTGTGGGCGGTCATATTTTTCCAGGAGAGATTGTCTAGATCGCTTGGAAAAACGAAATATAGGTGTTGGGAAAAAAATGTTCTCTAGTAGTGTGTGCTTGTTTTTGAGGAGGCTCTCACATACTTTTATATATACTCCTCCATCTTAAAATGTATGACATCATTTATTTTTCGTATAACGTTGATAATTATCATCTTATTCAAGAATTACATAAAAATTACTTACTTGTTGTGACCTTTTTATTATCTTTCTTATCTTAACTTATGCTTTTACTGCTAAACTTTTAAATAAGATGAATGGTTAAACATTATATAAAAAGTTAAGAGTGTCATATATTTTAAGACGAAGGAAGTATATACTCCGGATATACTAGAGAGAGCTACCGATCGAGAGATCGATGAGAAGATCAGATATAGGAGGACTAACGAAACCGGAGGCATCAGAAGTTCAAAACATGGCGCGTTCCCATGGGTCGTCCGTCCTACGTATATATATTTCAGTCAGTTAATTTTTTTACATGTTTGATTTGCAGCGGCCAGCAGCAGCAGAAGATGCACGAAACCTGGTGAGAAATCTCTCTGAAAGTCCAAAGTCTTCACCTACCAACAACACTGATTCAGCTGCATGACTCGACTTGCAGTGCAACGTAAGATATCGAGCGAATCAACAGATCGACAGGTTGACTGCCTGACTGACTCAGAGAAAGGAGAAGATCAGTTTTACCATGGTTATAATCTATAATTAACCAATTAATCCACTAGTTAATTAACCTAGTCATTATCGATCATATCACGCGTGGTGCACACGTACACATACCTCAATAGCAAGAAAACCAAGCTAAAGCTACCCCTCCATTTGAAAAATATTTTTCAAGCAATTTATGCTAGCTTGATCTTAACCAAATTAAGAAGCACTTCCAAATGTAATTAGTTATAATACAATTAGAAATGAAACTTATGCACATTTATATATATAGACACATGACAACAAATATTTGAATGGTATATATGTAAACGTAATTCAACTTAATTAATTATCGAATTTCTGCCTGGGTTTGAGTCCCAAACTCGATCGATACGGTGTCTGCTCGTGCTAGATGATCGAGTCTACGCCTTCAATCTTATTTAGACGTGTGTTAGGTGTGTGTGAAATGTTAAAATATAATTCAACTTAATTAATTCATGTACATACAACTAAATTGATGGCATACTAGACGGCTTACAAGTTATTAACTAATTTACAGTTTTTACCATTGAATTGATCAAGCAACGATCGGTTCTACGTACTGTACTACATATATTTACAGATGAATGCATATAAAGGAAACCACTGTAACTTTAGGTGAATGTGAACTATCTAGTCCAATATTGACCTAGTTAATCTCATTTATTTATTTGCTGATCCCAAGCTAGGGCATATACTTGTCACACAAGAATATAACCCTTATTGAGGTATCACACACACAAGTTCATGCATACTACTCTGTTAAAAAGAAAAAAAAGAGACAAATCCTAGCTACGAATCTGGACACACATATGTCCAAGTTCATAGGTAGGATTACGTTTTTTTTTTGGATGAAAGGGGTATGCATCTGGGACAACGTTGCCCTTTTTTTTAAAAAAAAAAGAGAGGAAGTTTTCAAAAAAATAGGACAACGTTGGCACAGTTGCGGCGTTTGACTCTTTTGACATGGGACATAAGTATATAGATGCATAAGGCCAAATCGTTCTCATATTATTTATCTCTTGGTGTACTGTTACCACAATTCCTAATAAGAATCTGATCTTGCGTGAGTAGCTGGTCAAAGGCTTAGATTTGATGGAGAAGTGTACAATTAGTACTACCACATCTTAGAGGAATGAACTGTACTTTCTGTCATTTTTTTCTTGCTATGAGAAGTGAAATGGTCTACGGTAATAACTTATGTTCAATTCCATTGAAAAATTTCTTAGCACGCATGCATGCCGGCTAGAGCTAGAGATTTCCTGGTAGTTGCAACTTGAAAGCATATGCCCCGAATTGCAGGACACTCGTGCTCTTGGAAACCGTCTGCTAGCTAGTGTATGCGGCGTGTCAACAAATGCATATACTCTTGATCAAAGAGTGTATTGACTAATTGACTTATGCACATGTCCCGATGTGTTTTGAAGACCATGTCGATATTCTCTAGACATTGTTTTTTTTATTTAAAACTGTTGCTACTAGCTAGAGGGGGTATATATGTGTGTGAGTTTCTCCAAGAAAACATGTTTGATTTTTCTTTTCTTTGTTCAGAAAAAAAATCTTGTATATATATGGCCATTATCGATTATTAGCAGCTAGTGCAGTTATTTGCTGATATATAGAAAGATAGTGACAGATGAATGACTAAAAGCTAGTATGTCTAGTATATAGCAGCTTGTTTGTGTTCTAGTTGGCTAGGTAGTGATAGGATATGTTCCAAACATATGGATGCGACTACATACATCTTTTGACAAGTAACTGCTATTTAGTCCACATTTTACATGACCAGAAGTATGTCATTTAGTAATATTAGGTTGAGTTTGGCATGCAGCTAAGTGCTTAGATACTACTTCTCACAGAACTATATTGTCTGCTCTTGTATATTGTTCCTACACGAGTATTGCATGCTTCAATTCAGTGTTCAATAGCCTGTTCATTTGTCTGCTATATATCACGTGCATTGTCATATTAGCACTAATATATTTCTTTCCCATGGATCGAACTTAATGTTTACAAAAGCAATTTTACTTCCTTTTCTCTTCTAAAAATGATTAACATTAACTCATGATTCTATTTTAAAATAGTCAATTTACCGGCAGACTTTATGGTAACAATATTTTGTTGATTTTTTTTTTCAGATAGACTACTGCCTTCTATTTGATGTTGTGATGTAATGTTTCCTTAACTAAACTCATCAACAATATGATTTCGCTGAAGATATATATGGTCATGACTATAGTAAATCGATCACTTAAATAATCAACGTTGATCTCTGGACCTGTTTGGTTTAGTATGGTAGTCAAAAGTGATTTACAGAGAACCAGTTCAAAGAAACCGTGATCGAGACCAGCGTGTGGACAGAACGTATTATTAGATCGATCTTAGATTTGCAAGAGTTATTATTAACTAATAACAAGATGGTGAAAGTAGTTTACATTAAGGACTGAATAAATTTAGACCTTATAAAATGCATGTGTAGAAACATCATCAGCCAGCTAACCTAATAAATACTCGCCTCTCTAAAATATAGATACTTCTTGAACTTAAAAATTTGTTTCAAAATATTTCGAAACTGTTACATGCCTGACTAACCACACCCCTCATTTAATATTCGCCAAATTTAAACAATAAAAATATTTTCAATGTTTGAACTCTTGAAAAGCAAAAAAAAATATTGATACTTGAGAAATTGTCATTAATTAATTATATACTCCCTAGAAACGGTTGGCTTAGTTAATTAATTAATTCGTGTCACGTCACGGACAGCGACAAACCGATCAAAATCACCACAATTTCGAGTCGAGACAGCTTTCAAAATATATTATATAACTCCACGTGAACCAATTAATAATTGACAGCGTCGAATTTTGTCTTGCAGTCGCAATCAAATTAGAAATTGTTTTTTTTGTTGACTCATCTCTATGGCCTTGTTCAACAGATAAGTTAACCAAATATACGTGTTTAATTAGCTTTCAGGGGTTAATGACCGATTTGACTGGCTGCATCTGTACGACCTTACAAAACTAGAAAACGTCCAGATGCATCCGTCTACTAGTATTTATACAAGCCCTTGGACTCAGTTAGCTAATTCAATGTTAATTAATACTAGATGTTTGTATTTCTGCTAAATTATGCCATCACCAAAATTGACTACTCCATCTCATTGGCGACAGAGTAGAACTTAAATTTCCTGACGGTTGGAATGCATGCTGTCATGAATTGTTTAATCAGTTATGTAAATTTAGATATCGTCATTTTATACACAGTAGATGAATTAAACATTAAAAAATTAAGCTGAACAAAAGCGTTGACATATGGAGTGCGTAGTTGTTGATTCAAGCTTGTCACGGATTATATATTCCTGACTAATCGAAGCGTGAATATAATACTGTTGCTAATTGAAGTTTCAACGGCGAGAGTATATGGTAAGATTAATTTTTTTATGCATGCCTCCTCTTCGACCAGGGAGAGGGGAGGTGCTCGTCGATCGATGAGACCAAGGTGTCGAGGAAGCAGCAGCCACTACTACAAAAACACACATACAAATTGGCACAATAGATGCTGGAAGAGCTAAAACCGATACCTATAGTGTTTTCCCCACCTCCACAGGCTGGAAATACAAACAATCGACACCTTTAAGTAATTATAAGTGAACCGGCACCTATCCAGCAAGCCGAGCCGATCGAGAAAGAAAAGCCGGGGGCGCGACCGATCAAGGGGATAAACACGTCCTTATATCTTTTTCATCTGCTCTTCTTGGCGACTTAGCATCGAAGACGCTGTTGACGAGCCATGCTGCATCACTGTCGTCACGCGCACTCCTCAACCTCGCTTGTCGCTATTGCTCTGCTGGCCGCTGCCCTGCTTCTCCAAGGTTGTTTCAAAAAGAAGGCGGAGAAGAGAGAATGAGTTAGGATAGAGGGAAGAAGAGAAAGAAGATGACATGTGGGCCTCATTTTATTTTTTTATTTTTTTAATAAGAGGGCTGCCACGTGGATGGTAGCCAAATCAGTCGAGGAAGGGAGCCAGGATGAGTAAAATAACTTCTCGAACAGGCTGGTGAAGGGATCGAAAGGAGAAATTGTGAGTAAAAGGCTCCCAAATCGATTGAGATTTCCATTACCAAATCGAAGCTTCTATTGCTACTTAAGACAGACACTTAATTAGGTGTGATTTTTTCTTCTTGTGTTGCAACAGATTTTCTTATAGATCATAAAAAAGCCACTTTATATTGTAGTAAGTCAATAGGCTCATAACAAATAAATATCACTGTTTAAATATTGTCCACTATTTGGATCCACTCTGGATGGCTAAGGTTATAAATACCAATTAATCGAGAGATCAATAAACTGGTAAACAGTAGGTACGTAAAGTTGATTACTACTTACTCTCGAACTAATATATGGATTCAAGATTTTGATTGAAAAAACAATTACATGAAACTGACTTGATACCATTGCCAACTGATTTTAATATAATTAAAATGTTTTTTTATTATACTACTTCTTTTAACATACCCAGATTCAACAACCGAATCTACCTTCCTTCTCCCGTCCTCTGATCAAACCCTAGCCAAATTCACTATCGTGCAGCGATTGGGGAACCCAGCAAAGCTAATGACCGAGATCTTCGACCTTAATTAAGTTCACCTCCAAGTTGCTCAATGTGCGAGGAGATCGAAGAGCACTCAAGGTGAAGAAGGCGATCGAGAAGGGAAACGAGTTAAATAATTTCTTTGGATTTAAAGAATATAATTCGTTTGAATTAAATATTTTAAAAAAGTTTTCAGGTGGGGTCGACAGATAAAAACTCATATCCTTAATTCTCTCAACACATTCATTCTTTTAAGTTTTAACCTCATATATCTTCGGTCCTATATAGATCTCTACTCACTGAGCTGCACGGCGAGCGGCGGCGTGAATGCCCACTTGTATCTCTACTCTAGCAACGAATTAAGCAGCAAAATATAAACCTTGCGATGAAGACGACCTCTCACGCAGATGGCATTCTATTTCCTTGACTTCTCTGCTCTGGCAATGGATTGATGTGATTTTTGTTATTCCTTTTCTGGGATTATTGGTCAGTGTACTTCTGATACTTGTATAAGGCAGTGATGATTACCTGATTGGTTTTTTAATTGATATTTTATCTTTTTATTTGTCAGTTGTGCGCGATTAGGATTTTGGATCGATCTCCGATCTCTGAGGGCGCTGCTCGGTCAGACTTATGGACAAAAAAAAATGAAAAGTTACTAAATTTTAAATAGTCATTAAGATAAGATAAGATAACATGCGGACTTGTATAAGGCAGGCAACATTAAGGCAGAGAATTACCAATCTGACTTGTATAATATCAGCCACAATCTTACAAAAGCTGCATCAACCATACTAACAATATATATATAGAACCAGTTCATGTGTTTCACAACGTTTGTTATGACCATCCGATGCCTGACATGCAAACTTTCTGCTACATTACCGAATCAGCATAAACAGGCTTCCTTGAAATGAGCGACCAAGCTACACTAACTCCAAGCTTACAGAAGCCCATGTCTAGCTCACCATTGCTTAAACCGGCTTTCAATGCTGTGAAAACCATCTCTGCTTCCACAACACTGTCATCAACTTTCCATGCCCTGACATGAACTTTCAGCTCGCCCTTATCTTCAACAGAAACAACACACCGTGAAAGCACAATCTTGCCATCATCACCAGTAACAACTACTTTCTGATCACCTCTAGAATCAAGCAGGAGAATTCTCTCATCATCAACACTGGCAATGTTCTTTTCACGGGCCAAATCCTTCCAACGAACACCAGTGGTAAAGGCAGCAAATTGACCATGAAAACCATCAGGCCATGACCCACAAATGACTCGCACGAATATTGTGGCCTCCACAGATGACACGATGTAGCCAAGTCTGAACTCCAGTGTGCTTAGCTTGCTTGTGTAAGAACCAGAATTAAGCAGCATACGTGAATAACGCTTACCATGACATAAGAGTGGCACAGCTAGGTAGCTCAAGTGTTTGTCCTCAGATTCAGTTGTACCCTTCACTTTCAGTTCAACATCGATGATCACAGGTTCCGGCATTGACAACACAATAGCACGGGTAAAAGAAGTAGTAAATTTCGTTCCTACAAATCATGAAACTGGAGTAAAAGAAGGCATAAACATGAGCAGCATAATCCGTACTACAGAAATCACATGAGCATAAAGGCCATGGTAATTTTCAGGAAGCAATTAATTATATCAGATCACCATGCATATAACATCTTCATGATATATAGCTGTGTTAAGCAGCACAGAAGGAGGCAATTAAACAGATCAATGGAATGTTAAGTAAAAAAGAGGCCAGAAATTAACCTGTTCAGTGAGGGTTTGGCAGTTGTCCCTTGTGCGGTGGAAGAGAACATTGCGATTACGATCAACACTATCGCGCATGGTAACTATACCAAACACATCAAGCGGCCACTGTAAGCCCCCACTTGTCGCTGCAACCTTGACAGAGAAGATCTGTAGAGCATCCAAGGCATAGGCAGTGAAATTATCTAGCGCAGGCTTATGAGTAAAACGCATTGGGGGGGATCCTTGCTGCATGTTCGAAGTTGTATAAGAATATATTGAAGTGAGTTAAAGATCAAATCCAATTGCAGCAGCAGCAGCAGCAGCAGCAGTAACAACACTAGTGAATATAACTAACTAGCAAGTCCATGCACTACTAGAAAACAAACAATTAATAGTATTCTGGACAGACACTTGAAATTTTATAGTTTGATTTTGATGTTGATTTTTGTGGTTTTTCATCATGGTTTATTTTTTAGAGCCAAAATTTGAATTTTGTGGGTTTTCTTTCGTGGTTTATTCTATAGTACTCCATCTGTTTCTAAATATTTGATACCGTTGACTTTTTAGCACATGTTTGACCGTTCGTCTTATTAAAAACTTTTATGAAATATGTGAAACTATATATATACATATAAGTATATATAACAATAAATCAAATAATAGGAAAAGAATCAATAATTACTTAAAATTTTTTAATAAGACGAACGGTCAAACATATTTAAAAAAAGTTAATGGCGTCAAATATTTAGAAGCAGAGGAAGTATTTGCTAGATAAGCGTATGCATAAGAGAATCAACAGACATGGAGAGAACACAATTCATGGTCTGGATATATCTTGTAGCACCAAGCCACCAATTGTATGGTGACACAAAATATTACTTAATTTGAATGAGACTAGCTAGTTTACTTAGGAAGGAGGGAGGAGATGAATATGATTAATGGAATGGAAAACAAATGAACTCACTCACTGGCGTCTTGGAATGAACCATGATGAGCGGAATGCACATCGTTCCAGAATTTGCGATACTGGATAGCCTCCCAGTTGGATTCATCCTCGTCCTGCGACCGCATCGTCTCTAGGTATGCCTTGTCCTGCTCCTCGATGCTCTTCCTCACCCTCGCCTCCCACTCCTCCGCGGTTTCCATCCTCTTCCTGGGTCTCGACGCCTTCGATGCGGCGTACTCCTCCGCGGTCTTGCCGATGGATTCGGGAATCCCTCGCTCTTCTCGATGTCGGCCATGGTCCAAACCCTCTCCACCACCGGCGGCGGCTTGGGCTCTTGCTTCTCCTCCTCCTCTAGGTCGGCTTCTTCTTCCTCGTCGGGTTGGGGCTTGCTCGTCGTCGTAGGCGATTCCGCCTCCGTGTCCATCTCCATCTCGTGAGGGCGAAGCTTCGGAAACCCTAGCTCTGTTCCGCCGCCCGCCGCTGCTCTTTTTTTTTTTGTTTTTTTTTTTTTTGAGAATAAAAGTCGGTAATTTTCATTCAGGAGTAGGTCAGATTTACATGCACATGGAGGGTTAGCAGCCCACACATGAGGCCCAAACCGACTGGGTCGTGTATGATGCGAGTCGGCCCAAACTGATTAAGCCTAGCCCACGCTGCGCAGCCCAAAGGAGAAAAATTGGCCCACCGTTGGTAACGCAACCGGCTGTAGAATAAGTTTATCTGAGGTCTCTTTAACTTGTCAACGAATCCGGTTTTCATCATTCAACCAGAAAAATACATCAGGTCCCTTCACTCTCAAAACCGATACAAAATAAGTCCTAGTTCTCACGATGGCCACAGTGGTCGCGGCGGCGGAGGAGGATCGCCGCGACGCCGGAGCTCCGGGGTCAGCTCAACAGAGGGGAGTCTAAAATGGGGGAGCTGTATACTAGCGAGGGGCTAATGCAAAATGGTGGTTTGGAACTCAGGTGATACATACATTATATCCAAAACTATAGGTAACACTACCCTGGTCAAGTTTAAAACACCGGCAACTTCCATTAACAAACGAGCGTCCACTACTAATTCATCCACAGCGGCAGGCATAAGATGTTCTGTTGCTAGTAACAGAGTTCAATCATCGGTGACAATCCACACACAACAATCTCAATATTCCAAGTTGAACACAGGCTTTAGGCCTACCGATGGGGCTTTTTAGTAACACAACATCAATAATTAGAATAATGGTATGGTCTGATATTAAAAGTTTTAACAATTAAGCTAAAGCTAAGACACTAATTCCGTGACTTTAAATAACACATCCATATATATGCAGTATAATTGTAATATCGGCCACAAATCTTACAAAAGCTGCATCAACCATGCTAACAATTAATCACCAGTTCACGTTTCACAACCATTCCGATGCCTGACCATGCATATTTTCCAGTACTACAGAACCGATTTAGCAAGAACTGGATTCTCCGAAATGAGCGACCAAGCTACACTAACTTCAAGCAGACAGAAGCCAATGTCTAGCTCACCATTGCTCAAGCCAGCTTCTAATGGTGTGAAAACCTTCACTTGTTCCACGACATTGTTATGATCAACGAGCTCCCATGCCCTGACAAGAACCTTCAGCTTTCCAACCTTCTCAACAGAAACAACACGCCGTGAAAGCTCAATCGTGCCATCACCACTGACAGTTACTACGTTCTGATCACCTCTAGAATCAAGCAGGACTATTTTCTCAAGTTCAATTCCAGCTAGGATGTCTTCAGAGGCCAAATGCCTGAATCTGACACCAGTGGTATATGCAGCAAACTGACCATGAAAACCATCAGGCCATGACCCACGAATGACACGCACAGATATTGTGGCCTCCACAGATGACACGATGTAGCCAAGTCTGAACTCCAGTGTGCTTAGCTTGCTTGTGTAAGAACCAGATTTAAGCACGTGTGAGTAATACTTACCAGCACATAAGAGTGGCACAGCTAGTAAGCTCAAGCGCTTGTCCTCAGATTCAGTGGTGCCCTTCACTTTCATTTCAACATCGATGATCAGAGGATCCGGCATTGACAACACAACAGCACGGGTGGGCCCTACCAGCACTAAATTTCGTTCCTGCATTGTATGGAATTAATGCCACAAATGAATAATCATGGAACTGGAGTAAAAGAAGACACTAATATGAGCAGCATAATAAACAGAAATCACACGTAGCATAAAGGACATGGTAATTTTCAGGAAGCAATTATATCTGATCACCATGCGTAACAGGCTATTTTCCAGAGTGTCAATAAATGAGGCCATTGACAGAATTGAAAACGACAAGGAGAAACTGTAGGTACAAAGACTGCATGTTATATGCATGCTTGCACGGTTATGAAATTAAATTAGGAAGGGCGGACAGCTGCATGTTGGAGGTAATTAAACAGATCAATGGAATGTTAAGTAAAGAAAAAGGTCAGAAACCTGTTCAGTGAGGGTTTGGCAGTTGTCCCTTGTGCGGTGGAAGACAACATTGCGATTACGATCAACACTGTCACGGATGGAAACTATACCGAACACATCAAGCGGCCACTGTAAACCTCCACTCGTCGCTGCTACCTTGACAGAGAAGATCTGTAGAGTATCCAAGGCACTGGCAGAGTAGTAACCCAGCGCAGGCTTATGAGTGAAATGCATTGGGGGATCCTTGCTGCACGCACCGAGTTGTATAAGAATTGAAATGAGTTAAAAGATTGAATTAATCCAATTGCAGCAGTAGCAGCAGCAATAGCAATAACAAAAGTAGTGAACATAACTAACAACAACAAGTCCATGTACTAGTAGAAAACAAACAATTAACAGTATTCCGGATCCGGACAGACAACCCCACCGCTTCCTTATGTCTATAAACCATTTGAATTTTTAGAATTTAATTCTGATATTGATTACGTGGTTCTTCATCGTAGTTTATTTTATACTCCATCCGTCCCAAAATATAAGCATTTTTAGCTTCCAATCTAGACAACTGTTTGTCTAGATTCATAGCCAAAAATTACTATATTTTGTGACGGAGTTAGTAGCCAAAAATTAAAGTTCAATATTTAATTTGGATTTTGAAATTGTTTTTTTTTCATCGTAGTAATTGCTTGATAAGCATAAACATAAACAGCGAAACGTTGCACATCACATGAAGAGAAAACAATTCATGATAAGCATATACTCTCTTCGTCTAAGAAAAAACTTAACGTAGAAGTAGGAGGACGAATTTGAACTCCTACGAGAGTCACATCCTCTTCTAGGTTGAATTTTTTCTCAATGGAAAAACGAAAAAACCTCACTGACTTCCTCGAATGAACCACGGCTGCCGGACCATGTATCGTTCCAGGAATTGCGATACGCGATATAGTCCCAGTTGGATTCATCGTCGTCCTGCGACCGCATCATCTCTTCGTATGCTTTGTCCTGCTCCTCGATGTTCTTCCTCACCCTCGCCTCCCACTCCTCCGCGGTCTCTATCCTCCTGGGTCTCGACGCGAAGGCCGCCTTCGATGCGGCGTACTCCTCCGCGGTCTTGCCGATGAATCTCAGGAATCCCTCGCTCTTCTCGAAGTCGGCGCTGGTCCAAACCCTCTGCACCGACGCCGGCTTGGGCTCTTGTTTCTCCTCCTCCTCTAGCTCGGCTTCTTCTTCTTCGTCCTCGTCGTCGTCGGCCTGGAGCCGCCGCTTCCCGAGCACCCTTCCTCGACTCCGCCGCCGCGCCGTCGCCCCCGACGACGAAACCTTACCAGTCGCCGCCATCTTGCCATCGCTCTTCCGGTCAACCTCCGCCATCTCCATCTCGCCGGCCACCGCAACGCTCACAACCTCACCTGGGGTCTGGGTGGTGCTCGCCGCCGGCGAGCTTCGAAAACCCTATATGATGCGACCGCGTGCTTAAAAGTCGGCCCAGCCACGGTGCGAAGCCCAAAGGTGAACGTTGGGCCCAAAGCTGCTCACCGGATGTTGGGCCCACCGAGCAATTAAACCTCTGGAACAGAAAAAAGTTATTCCTAAGGGTAAATTTGATAACGCCATTTATAAATTTGTCATGTGAAAAAAAATCCCATCACTGTTCATTAAATCTGCTGAAACTCAAATTGTGCCATTGCCATCAGGATTTCTGTCAACACCTCCGTATTGAGGAGAGAAAAATGAAAATATTGCACTTTCATCCACATTATCTCCTTCCTCTCTCCTCCCTTATTATCTGAAGAAGCATCCCAACAACTAATCCAAATTTGATCCTCCATATGCCTATATAGATGGTAAAAAAAAAACCCTCCTTCATATTCCTTCCCACTTCAACTGATCATCCATATTATATTCTCCATATCACACCTTTCTATATTTTAGTAATATTTACCAACTACCGTGCACTTATATTATATTTGAACGACTATATTTCATATTTTATCTCCTTTTCTCTGTTATTCTCTATCTTCTATGCTCTTTTCTCTAATACAAGTCTGCAGAGCAGTCGAGGTGGCCCGTAGGAGCAGAGGTGCGCAGACAGCGACGACGGATGCTGAGGTGGGCAGGCGGCGCAAGCGGCCGACGGGCGTGGAAGTGGCCAAGATGGCCGGCGGGAGCGGAGCCGCATAGGCAAAGGCGGTGGATGCTAAGGCGGGTGGGCGGGGAAGCGGCGGCGGTGAGCGACGGGCGTGGGTGTCGCGCAGGAGACAACGCCGGATGCTGAGGTGGGTAGGCGGCGCATGTGGGTGGTGGGATCGGAAGTGGCAGCGATGACGACAGCCGGTAGGCGCGGCAGCGACATCGGCGGCCGGTGGGCGACGATGACGATGGAGGGGAGGTTGATCCAGAACTTCGGATGGGGACGAGAGCGCGGACGTTGAGATATGGCGTTGATGAGAGAGAATCACTATATTTGGCCGAACTCTCTTCGATTTGGCGTATCGTCTATTTTTGGAGGCCTCGATGCCATATCTACTGGAGCACCGTTTTCTCCTCCAGTGCGCTATGTTTTGGATGGAGTACCGGATGAGGGGTCCGCTGGGGATGCTCTTAGGCGGCACACATGAGGGGGTGGCTTCAATCCAACTTTGAACTAGAAAGAAGAGCACCGACACACTGGGTGATGACTCTTAGAATCCTGTGTCGATCGTGCATGCTCGAATTCATTGCCGGTAACCTAGCCTCTTGTCATGATAGCCTCGATGAGATGATCCGCTCTCTACTCATCAGGAATGCCGAAGAAGATGACAATATTCTTCGGTGAGATATGGATGGAATGGGTTTAGGAAGAAGATAACAAAAATCTTGGCGACAATGGTATGGTTATACAACTTTACAAAATTCTAGTAGCATGCAGTAGGTTTTACGAATAGTTATGATATTTTTTTAATATGATAAATTTGTAATGGCATGGCCAAATTTGCATAATTTTAAAGTAACCAAAGTTATATTCCCTCAAAAAATTTTATCTCTGATGAGGACTTAGGAGTAAGCATGCATTAAAATAATGTATTCATATTGACGGGACCGACCGAGGATCGCTGTAATTTTGAATCTATGTGGCGACCACTGGTGATCTGGCAACAATTACTAGTCGGCATATCTTAGAAGTTTACTACTACTCCTTAAAGTCTTAAAATTTTGATGAAATAATTATGCAACTGTCGAATATTTATGACTGAAGTATTTATATTGGATATAACGTGAGAATACTTTTGTTTAATTTGTTTAACATCCCTTATTCCAAAATATTAGAAATCTTCTGCTCTAAATTATATAAAATCATACAACTTAAATCCTGTGGTAGTATCAGCAGCTGGTTTAGCTGGCGCCACATCCTAGTAAAAAAATTATGGTGGGGCCTAATGTCAACACCATGCACACGAGGTCAACGGGAGGGGGCGTTGGCTCGTCGTCTTTGTCAGAAACGGACGGCAGCTCGTCGACGATGATGCCGCCACCACCCGAGTTCGACGCGGGGAACGGCATGAATGCCAGTGCCGAGGTAGATGGAGTAGGAGGTTCTGGAGCTGGCGCCGATGCCCTCTCCACTGGCGCTGACAACCATGACGCCGTCAACCTCGGCTCGGCGAGACGTTAGGCATGCATGCGGGTCGACACCAGTCGCGGTCATAGCCTCACCGTCCATCATCTTCTTCATCTTCACCCGCGGACCAACTCGAAGAGGCCAACTAAGAACATCGATTCCTGCATCACCAATCCACACAAGCTTTGCAGCTTCCTGGAGAGGGGAGGGAGATCTCCTCTCTTCTCTTGTTCTGTTTCTTGGACTGGTCCACTGTTTTTGGGTGGCAGTGCCATTGATCTGGTGAATATGCAGAGGCTGGTCTCTTGATCTGATGATGGCGAGCACGACATCGACGACGACCGCGGTGAGCGGCGCGTGCACGAGGGTCAATACCTGCGGACAGAGGCGGTCAAGTGTGGTGCGGTGCGATGGCAGCGGGGGCGTTCGCCGCCGCTTTCACCGTGAAGACTCGGGTGGGGTTGGTGGTGGCTGTGTGTAGCCGTGCACAAGGCGTGGTTCCGGGTGCGAAAAAGAGAAGAGGAACATGTGAGTCCCACCATATATTATTTATTGTTTTTTATGTTAGCTGATTAGGATGCCACGTCAGCTAAACCAGCTATCGATACTTTCATGGGTGGGTCCTATGTTGCACGGTTGGTTTTGTATAGTTCAGGGATGTCAATTAAACAAAACTCGACTACAGTTGAGGGACAGAAAGTGGACTTCTTCCCGACTTGTAGATGACCACTCATGGTCCACCGACTTAAGTTGGTTGGGCCTTGGCACTGTTTTTTGGGCCTAACCGGACCGGGCACAGACTCATTGCTTATCTATCTACCCCTAATCATCCGACTTGCACCGGCGGCAGAAGAGGCGGAGCGGAGGGGATCTAGGGTTTCCGAGGGTCGCCGGCGGCGAGGACCACCACCGCCTAGGTGAGTCGAGTTTTGCGGTGGCCGTGCCCTCGCGAGACCGACATGGAGGCCGAGCGGAGGAGCGACCGCGAAGGGGACTACGGTGGCTGGATGGCGGCGGGCTCGTCGTCGGGGGCGATGGTGCGGCGGGAGACGAGGAGGTCGGAGGTGGGGTTGGAGAAGTCATCGTCGTTGCCGCCGCCTTTGCCCAAGGAGGCAGTCAAGATTGACAAGAAGAAGACGAAGAAGAGGAGTGACTACAGTATCGAGGATATTCTGAAGATTCTTGATATGAGCGAGGAGGAGTTGGCTGTAGTGAAGGAGGAGTGGGCTGAAATGGAGGCGAAGGAAAAGGAAGAGGCACCAAAGGTGAAGGAAACCATGGTGGAGTGGGAGGCGAGGGTCAAGAAGAGGATTGAGGAGGAGAACAAAGCATATCGAGAGATGATGCGGTCGCAGGACGACGATGAATCCTCCTGGGACGCTATCCAGTATCGCAAATCCTGGAACGCTAGATGGTCCGGCACCCGTGGTTCCTTCGAGGACACCAGTGAGTTTGTTTTGTTTTCCATTCATCGATCCTCTGTTCCTCCTGCCTTTGTAGTATTAACCTAGCTTCAGATTGACCAAGCATTTTTATAGCCATTGCTGTTGTCTGTTACTTCCTCAATTTCATATTATATAAATTGTTGCTTTGATTTTTTTCCTAGTCAAATATTTTTAAGTTTGACCATATTTAGAGAAAAACATAGTGGTAATATCTCCAACACAAAACATACATATCATCAAAATATATTAAATGTTAGTTTTGACAAAACTAATTTAATGTTCTTGATTATGTAATTTTTTTTATAAATTTGGTCAAATTTAAAGAACTTTGACTAAAAGAAAAGTCAAAGCCTTATAATATAGTATGAAATGGAGGAGTACTTCCTAGTATCATGCAAGAATTGTTTGTTTTCTCCATCGACAATAGTTCTAATTGCTACTCCATATTTTGTTTTCTCCATTCACAACATGGTTGTTAAGGCTAAAAGGCGTCCTAAGGCGACCCCGGACTGCCATAGCGGTAAGGCGTAAGGCGAGGCGACGCCTTAGGCACTCCATACCAATTAGATGACAAATAAAATAATCTAATATGATAGCAAATCAAAGATGCATTTTAAGAGCAGTACAACACACACACACATATATATATATAGATGGTTGTAATAATTACTTAACCAGATATCAATTTATTAACTAAAAGAGCACCATCTTATAAATACAGAGTGAGGGTGCATGGGGGAAGAGCAAACAGGGTAAATATGTGCTAAGTACTAACTACAATACAGAGTGAGGGTGCATGGGGGAAGAGCAAACAGGGTAAATATGTGCTAAGTACTAACTACAATACAGAGTGAGGGTGCATGGGGGAAGAGCAAACAGGGTAAATATGTGCTAAGTACTAACTACTAATAGGGAGTCAGGGATGTAGGGGAGGGGCAGGCAATAAAACAGAGCAGTAGAGGGAGGAGTATAGTATATGAGATGTAGAGGAGAGGGAGGAAAACCACAACATAGCAGCAAATGAGGAAGCAGAGTAGATAGGATGTAGAAGAGGGGGGAGGAAACACCAAAACAAGCAGCAGAGGAAGGATAAGAACAGGGTAGAGGAAGGAGCAAAGCAGGATCACGTAGAGCAGAGAAAGAAACAGAGGAAAGTAGAGGGTGGAGGAAAGAGGAGAAAGAAGAGCGTGCCTGCTTAGTTTTTGTGTCAATGGTGAGGACCAGGATCATCGCGCAGGTGCAGAGGACCAGGATGATGGTGCAGCCACAGGATAGCCGCAGGCAACAACTGGGATCGCCGCCAGGGATGGAGATGTCGCGAGGGATGGATCACCACAGCCTCAGACTCCAGCGACCCTCTTTCTGTTGTTTTCTCCTTGATTTGGTGGGATATGGCGCGTGGGGACCTTTTCACCCCAATAATTGGCGCTTCTGTTAGTTCTGTTTCGCGCCCAGGGCCCATGGCGCCAATTTTTTTGGGCCCTTCAACCATGCCCTCAACTTCCTGTGGCGTCGCCTTTAGCCATTGTAGCGCCTAAGGATGCAATATCGACACCGTAGCGACACCTTGGGCATAAAGCGGACGCCATAAGCAATATGGTAAGGCGGGCCAGACGCCCTGACTCCTGGCAGCGCCTTACCGCTATAGCGACGCTATGGCGACGCCTTGACAACCATGATTGACAATACTGACAATTGCTACTTTGTTAGTTGTTATGATTTTATAAACTGCAGTTATCTGCCTGAGGTGTGCAATAGCGCACTTGCTAGTTGTTTATTGTCACTGTTGTTGTTACTGCTTTTATTGCTACTGCTGCTGCAAAAATTGGGTTAGGTCTTTTAACTCATTTCCACCATTTTACAACTTTGTGCAGCGAGAATACCCCCCATGCGTTTCACCCACAAGCCTGCACTGGATTACAGTGCCGCTGCCACGCCTACTCTGCAGGTCTTCTTCGTCAAGGTTGCAGTGGCAAAGGGGGCCTTACAGTGGCCACTTGATGTGTTTGGTATTGTTGCCATGCGCGATGTTCTTGACCGTAATCGCAACATTGTCTTCCACCGCACAAGGGACAACTGCCAGACCCTCACTGAAGAGGTATGTGTCCTTTTCTTTATGAAACATTCAGTGGCTTGCTTGTCTCCTGCTGTGCTGCCATATGCTCTTCCTAATTTTCATAACCGTGCAGGCATGAGTACTGTTAATTACCATGTAGTCTTTACACCCGTAGTTTAGTTTCTCCACAACCATTGAATTGTGTAACAACTTTATGGAAAAGAGCTCGTCAGGCTTGGTGATCAGATATCATTGCTTCCTGAAAATTACTATGGTTCACATGCTTTTAGATTTACATGCCTTTTGCATGCAGTGGAAATGTGGAATCATGTACATAGACAGCTCAACATATGTGTAAACAAGCAATGAGAAGGCATATGATAATGTCTGTGTTTCATCAGAGAAATAGCCATTTCCTAGTACAACACAAGTCAGGCTAAAAAAACTAATAATTAATTCAAACTCTCACACTTGTGTTTGAGTCAACTATTACTGAATCAGTACATTGAATGAAGTTTCTTAAATTAACTGTTACCTTCATAATATCATTTGGATAAAATATCTAGTATTAAGTGATCCTAGGGAAGATGGCTGGTTCTCTTTTCAACTGTCTCACACTGTCCCTACAAATTCTGGGTACTTTATCATGTACTTACCACAATGCATTGATATACCTCTTTAGTCCACAATGCATATATTCTGAACTGTTGTTCTATAATGACTGTTTGATAGTTTTTGGTGCTTTATTGTTCTGAATTCAGCCCTAAGAATGTTTCAGCTTCGATTGCAAGGTGTTGTTCTGAGTAAAGCCACTTTATTGACTCTCGAATATTGATTGTTTGCACATAACAAACATCTTGTTCGTTTTGCCACTAGTACATTGTGCTAATATGTTTCTCTCAGATTTTGTGTTATGCATGCCACATTTATGCTATGTGGTTTTTGTTCGTTATACTGTGTTGTATGGATTATGCTCCTCATATATACCTCTTCTTTCACTCCAGTTTTCTGATTGTTCATTTGTGGTTTTGCGTTAATGCAGGACCGGAATTTGGTACTGGTAGGCCCTACCCGTGCTGTTGCGCTGTGGATGCCGGAACCTGTGATCATCGATGTGGAACTAAAAGTGAAGGGCACTACTGAATCTGAGGATAAAGGCTTGAGCAATCTAGCTGTGCCGCTCTTATGCGATGATACGAGTTATTCGTACACTAGCAAGCTAAGCACACTGGAGTTTAGACTTGGCTATATTACGTCCTCTGTTGAGGCCACAATATTCATACGAGTCATTCAGGGGTCATGGCCTGATGGTTTGAGTGCTCAATTTGCTGCCTTTACCACTGGTTTCTATGGCAAGGGTATGGCCTGTCGAGACAGCAATATGAGTATTGATGATGAGAGAATTGTCCTGCTTGATTCTAGAGGTGAGAAAGTAGTTGTTACTAGTGATGGCAATATCAAGCTTTCACGGCGTGTTGTTTCTGTTGAGAGTAACACAGAGCTGAAAGTTTCTGTCAAGGCATGGAAAGCTGACAACAATGTCGTCGAAAATGAGAATGTTTTCACAGCATTAGAAGCTGGTGTAAGCTATGCTACACTTGACATTGCCTTTTGTAAGCTGGAAATCAGTGTTGCCTGGTCACTCATTTCGCAGTATCCTGTTTCTGCCAACTCGGTACTGTAGCCACTGGTTCCGAAAGGTTCATTATAGATATTAGTAATATACCCGTGCTAACGCTATGATAATATTTAGTAATACAACATATCTTTTACCAATCAAATATTAAATAAGATATATTTATGATTTAAAAGGTAGAGAGGTCTCCACCAACGTCGCACCAAGCTGACACGCACAAAGCTAACAAGATTACACCCAAACGGCACAACGTCACAGGTTGGATTCAATTCAACCAAACATACCTATGAAATTGGACTTGGATTTCTACCATGTTCGCCGGCTGCCTATGCCACCTGCGTGGTTCGGATGAGAGAGCGGATGGATAGGCAGATAGCGCGGGCTGGACCGTCGATTGGACACCTTCGGTCATCGATCTGTACAGAAAACTAATTACTACATCTGTTCCAAAATATAAGCATTTTTAGCTACAAATCTGAACAACTATGTATCCAGATTTATAGCTAAAAGTTGTTATATTTTGGGACGGATGTAGTATATGAAAATGAGATAGACTCAATTTTTTGACAAGTGCATATTTTATACATATGAAAAAAGCATTTCGTTAATACGGATGGAGTCATCCATATATACAGAGAACTAACTATATCTTGTTTCAACCAAGTAGAAGCTTTTTTTTTAACAAGGATGTACTACTTTTTAATAATAGAAATGCTATCTAACAGGATCCCATCCCAACCGTGATGGATGGGATAGGGCAGCAACCAACCAATCCATCGATTCTATCTCCTTCTACCGTATCCATTCTACCACATCTCTCTCAAAGCATGCTTACTGCTGCATGAGCTCCGGCGCGGCATGGGGTGTAGATGGCGGAGGACGCGGTCACTAGCGACAAGCTCTGGCGTGGCCGCCGGCGTCGAGCTCCCGGCGTGGCATGGCTGTGGATGGAGGACGCAGCCCCTCCGGCGACGAGCTCCGGCGTGGTGCGGCGCGTGGACAGCGGAGGACATGGCCGCCGGCGACGAGCCTGGTGAGGGGCGTGGCGGCAGAGGACGCGACCGCCAGCAACAAGCCTGGTGTGGGGCGTGGCAGCAAAGGACAAGGCCATCGGCAACAAGCTCCGACGTGGGGCGTGGACGACGGAGGATGCAGCCGTCGGCGACGACCTCCGACATGAGGCGTGGACAACGAAGGACGCGGCTGCCGGCGATGACCCCCGACATAGGGCGTGGAGGGTGGGGCCACTGGCAATGACGCATCGGTGCTCAGCTCCTGATACCTAGTAGGAATCACCTGATATCTGGTAGGTATCATCTGATACCTCATGAGTATCACCTAATACGTGGTAGGAATCGTATGATACTTGATAGGTATCATTTGATACCGGTTAGGTTTCAGGACATGATACCTCAGAGAGGTATCAAAACATGATACCTAATCGGTATTATCACGTTCGAAAACAAGATTCCGTTGTATAGCAGCCCTCTTAAATAATCCATTGAAATGCTAAGTACTTCATCCGTCCCATAATATAATAGCCTAGTAACCTCATGTACTAGGTTGTATATTATGGACGGAGGGTGCAGTAAAGATAAAGAAATTGCACTTTGGTCCATATTTCTTTACCCTTCTTTCAATTTGGACTAGGGTAAAGCAATCTTTTCATTTTGGACCACCTAAATTTACATGTTGTTTCACCTCCCAAGTTGTTGGGAGGTCAAGCTCAAGCTTGAGTTGGAGTATGACAAAAATGGAACTCGATGTAGGCTGAGCATGGCTCAAAGCTGAAGATTGTGCCTGCGGGAAGTTGATCAGGCTGAACGCGACATCGAGGCTAACAGCAATGTAGTGTGGCACCAACAGAGCTTGAGGTTGAAACGACAAAGGTTAAGGTCAAGCGTGGGCACTGGCTAGGCTCGAGGTCGAGGTTCTGTGCGGTGCCTGTGCCTGCGAGGTCCGAGGTTAGACATTACTTGGCTTTGGTGATATTGAGAAGGGATGGGGTGGAGAGAAGAGAGAGGGAGCTAGAGGTGGAAGAAGAGACCCAAAAGGAAAAAACGTATAATTTATGTAGTACAAAGCGAGAAAAGGTTGTTCTAACTCCTGCCCCTAGTTTAAGTTGAAACTATGGTAAAAAAGATGGACCAATATGCAATATTTTTTCTTAAAAAACAAAATTCTTGTAGTGCTAGTGTACTACCCAACAGCCACGTAGGCACTAAATGACACGAAGGCCAAGCAAAAAAAGTCATATAGGAGAGGTACTTTGCACAGATTTGATAGTTGTGGAGAGGTACTCAATTTGCATTGATTTTGATAGTTGCAGAGAGGTATTCAATTTGCACTGATTTACTCGGTTTGTGGTTGGGGGACACGAATAAAACTTGACCCATAGTTGAGGGACGCTAATGAACTTTACTAAAGGTAAGGTCCAATTTCTGTTTTGCGCTTCGCACGGTGGATGGGCCTATTTTATTTGGGCTGATTTTAGTTTAGAGAATTTTTACCCAAACCAGTCGCCACGTCTTCCTCCACCACCGCCACCGCCCGCATCTGCAGCCTAGCCGCCGCCACCCGCGTCTGCCGCCGCCGTCGCTGCATCTGCCTCCACCGCTGCCGTCGCCCACGTCTGTAGCCGAGCCGTCGCTGCCGCCCGCGTCTGCTCCCTTCCTCTGCCTTCCTTTGTCTGTGTCAAGAGGACGGAGAAGATACTTATGTAGATGACATGTGGGGTTCACTCGCAAGGGGAGAAGCTTTTTCAAAAGCCACTTGAGTGTAACCAAACAAGCTTTTGGCTTCTTCACAGCTACTTTTCCAAAGCTACTTTTAAAAAAGTCACAGCCCACAGCTGGTTTTTTAAAAGCCATAGCCCAACCAAACACACCCTAAGTTCACTTGGTGGCACTCAAAAGTGATTGAAATCTAATCCGTGACCCTAAACTATAAAACCGGAAATATTGAACCCCCAACTCTTAAAACCGGTACAATTTGACTCTCTCAGCGGTTTTGGATGGCGGTCTTGCTGATGTGGTGTCTACATGGCATCCCAGTCATAAAAAAGTTAAAAAAATAAAGTGGGCCCACCTATCATCTTCCTCTCTCTACTAACCTATCTCACTTCTCATCCGGTCATGACGAGCAGCGCCGGGATGATGATGATGGGCGGTGATGGGGCTCTCCTCACACCCCGGCTCTTTCCACCCCGTCGCTGGTGGCGGAGTGGTCGGATATGCGGCTTCCTCGCCGGAAGTCGTTGATGGGCCGCGGCAGCAAAAGGGGGTTGAGGCGGGTGGATAGCTTGCCAAGGTCGCCCATGGTGCTGGCGTCGAGGGCGTCGCTGGCCAAGACCAAGTCGGTAGTCGACACGCAGGAGCTCGGTGCTATGGACAGGATGTCGGCTACTCATCGCCGCTGCAAGGACGTCAGGATGAGGGGGCGGCGCAGGCGGCGTGCCCCGCGCGCGGAGGCGGTCCTCGAGGGGCCTCGAGCACGGCGCAGAGGCGAGCGGCCACGGCCGAGGCGACGGTCCATGTGGTGGGCCCGTGGCATGGCCGCCTCGCGCATCCTGATCCGGGGTGGCGGTGGTGCTCGGCAATGGCCCAGCCATCTGCTGCCGCACCTGCGTCGCCTAGGAGCACGTTTGCACCCAGCCATCTAGGCTCCTGTCCTCCCGACTGCCACCGCCACTGCCGCCGCTCCGGCTCTTGCGCACCCGTCGCCGCTGCCGTTCCATCGCCCATCCTCTCCCGCGCGAACAACTCCTCCGCCTTGGTCCTCGTGATGGAGTTGAGTATCCGCAACACCATGGCGTCGTCGTCGCTACCCTCCTCGTCGGCGCTGAACGGCGCGAGTGGACGGAACGACAGCCGGAGGTGGCCTCGACCCCGCTGGTGCAGTTGAAGGAGATGTGGTCCAGCGACTCGCGAGTCGTCGGAGACCACGCAGGTAACTGCGAGGGCGAGGATGACGAGCAGCAACGCGGGCCGCCGCCGCCGTTCCCCTCATCCTCCCACTACCGCCAGCCTCCATGGCCGAGCTGCCGACCGCCGCCCCCTATTCCGCTGTGCCTTGATGCCACCAGCTGCCGCCGCTGCCAACAAAGAGAGAGAATATAGGAGGGTGTCAATGATAAGCGGGCCCCACTTTATTATTTTAATTTATTTGACGACTGGGATACTACGTAAGCATCACGTATCCGGTTTTGTGATTTAGCGTTACGGATTAGATTTCGATTTCGATTACTTTTAAAGATCACGAAGTGCACTTATTCCTACCACTTTTTAATAATACACATGGTTTTTCTGCTAGGATCCATGTCGCCGAGTTTTTTCCAGTCCGATCTGGTAGTTTTACACATAGTTTATCTGTTTTATTTTAATAATACACATGGTTTTTCTGCTACGATCCAGGTCACCGAGTTTTTTCCGGTCCGATCTGGTAGTTTTTGTCCGGGTCACTAGTGAACGGTTTTTTTTTCGATGTGGGCTTTTGGTTGTGCTGCCAGTTGGTTGTTTTTTCTGGTCCAAATTGGTTTTATACGTGTCTAACACAGATGGCAGATGAAAATTAAGGTTTAATTTTTATAATAGATAAAGATGAATATTAGGTAACTCTATTTGGGATTCAATCCTTTCGTGTGCACCAAGAAAAAAATAATCGGAAACAGCGATGGAAAAAACGGGCCCACAAAAAACCGCAACACATAAAATCGTGACCCACCCAGAAAAAAATCGGACAAAGAAAACCGGGCCCAAATAAAAACTGGAGAAAAAACCAAGACGGAAAACCGGAAAAAAAACCGCATTGCGGAAGTAAAAAACGACGGACAAAAAATTTTTACGGAATCCTTACATATTTTTTAATTAGGTATAGATATATATATATACACCATGTTCAGTACTAGTACTCTTTTTTTAAGAACTTGTTTAATACTCCGTATTGTAAGACTTTTATCTCAGTACTCCCTCCGTCTCTAAATATTTGACGCCGTTGACTTTTTAGCACATGTTTAACCATTCGTCTTATTAAAAACTTTTGTGAAATAT